CAAAAAAGAAATGTCAAACCTTTAAAGCTTTAAGGACTGTCACGTTCTACCAATGGACCCGTACCTGCTGCAGTTAATTCATGCAGTAGCAACCTTTGGCATGCCCAACCGACGCCCGTAGAAGTAGTGCAAGTGAGTGACAGCTGTGGTCAAGTGGTCAAGCCTGTAGTTACGGCTTCACTTGGCAGCGGAGCAATGGACGGTCCAGGCGGCCCACGACTTTGAATCTCTCGCTGGGCGAGGAACACGGAGACTATCTTTGGGATTTAAATTTAGGAAACTGAGAATCGAGAGTATCTTTGGCATTGGGACTCAGGTAAGTGGAAGTTCCAGTGGAAGGTCCATGCAGGATGAGGAGAAAGATTGCCCCTCCGTATCCGTGTTCTTGGGGCAAAAGGGCGGGTCAGGATGTTATTTCCAGAAATAGTAGCATGTTTGCACGGTTTCCGATTAACTCCCCTGCAGTAGCTTTTGCTCATCCTGGGTGTGGTAGTTAGTAGGAGTAGTAGTAGTAGTCGTCGTCGTAGTAGTAGTAGTACGAGCAGTAATAGTTTAGTGGTAGTAGTCGTAGTAGTAGTAGTAGTAGTAGTAGTAGTAGTAGTAGTAGTAGTAGTAGCAGCAGCAGTAGTAGCAGTACTAGTAGCAGTAGTAGCAGGGATTTGTGGTAGTAGTTGTAGTAATAGTAGTAGTCGTCGTCGTAGTCGTAGCAGTAGTAGTAGCAGTAGTATCAGTAGTAGTACCAGTAGTAGTATCAGTAGTACTATCAGTAGCAGTATCAGTAGTAGTAGCAGCAGTAGTAGCAGCAGCAGCAGTAGTAGTAGTAGTAGCAGCAGTAGCAGTAGCAGTAGCAGTAGCAGTAGCAGTAGCAGTAGCAGTAGCAGTAGCAGTAGCAGTAGCAGCAGCAGCAGCAGCAGCAGCAGGAGCAAGAGCAGGAGCAGGAGCAGGAGCACTGGCACTGGCACTGGCACTGGCACTGGCACTGGCACTAGCACTAGCACTAGCACTAGCACTAGCACTAGCACTAGCACTAGCACTAGCATTAGCACTAGCACTAGCAGTAGCAGTAGCAGCAGCAGTAGCCAGTGGCAGTAGTAGCAGGCACGACCAATACAAGCAGTAATTAGTAGGAGTAGTAGTCGTACTCGTGGTCGCAGTGGCAGTAGTGGTAGTAGTAGTAGTAGTAGTAGTAGTAGTAGTAGTAGTAGTAGTAGTAGTCGTACTCGTGGTTGCAGTGGCAGTAGTAGTAGTAGTAGCAGTAGTAGTAGTAGTAGTAGTAGTAGTCGTACTCGTGGTCGCAGTGGCAGTATAAGTAGTACTAGTAGTAGTAGTAGTAGTAGTAGTAGTAGTAGTAGTAGTAGCAGCAGCAGTAGTAGTGGCAGTGGGAGTGGCCGTAGCAGTGGTAGTGGTACTGGTAGTACTGGTAGTAGTCGTACGACTGATAGCGGTAGCGCACTCGTAGTAGAATGAGGACAGGGAGGGCCACAAAATTGGACATACTCGCTCGATCCGAGGTCGTGGTGAAAGTGCTGGACTTGTTGCACGTGCCGCCGTACCGGAAAGTTGCCCCGCTGCTTCAGCCTAGATACCCCGTACGGGGTCAGACCTCAATAGTAGCAAGTGTCGCGAGGACCATTGGTAGCCTGCCCAGGCTGACAATTCATTGAGCCGAACATTCTGCAGAAACAAAAGCTTGAAGGAACAGCCAGGGACCTAGGAGATTCGTGAGAGGTTCTTAGAAGCCCGCATGTGTCAGGATGTCAACGTTCTCGGCGAAATACACTTGCCAAAAGTTGCATCAAGAAGACCCCTTTGCCGCAGGCGTCAGTGTCGAATCTGCATGAGTCTGCCATCCAGGAACCATATACGAGACACAACGAGGAGCAAGGCACGCAGAGCGAAAACAGAGGGAGAAGGAAAGCTGCAACACGAAGAAGGTAAAGACACCAAAGAAGCCAAAGACGCAGGGAGAAAACCACAAAGCCGATTAGGGAGTTGTCGGAAAACGACAACAAGAAGCTACGACCGCCCATAGGGCTTCTCCAAAGTCCCGCAGAAAAAACAGCCGCCGTGTACCGCTTACGGTGCGGAGGAGCGTGAGCAATGAAATACGGAAGCCGTTGAGGAACATGCACCGTCTGTTGCCGAAGTGAGCAAACTTCGAGAAGCTCGTGCGGAAGCGGGTTGTCGACTTCTTCAGGAAGCTTGGCTCGCAAGACGTCCTCAGGACCATATGCAGGAAATTTGCATCCTGTGTTGAGCTGGGGGAAACCTACTGAGAAACAGTGACCGTCTGCAGCAGACTTGCGAGAACTTGCGCGCGCCTCGTCGGATGTCCCCTGGTTTGCACAAGGACTACCGAAAAAGTAGCATCATCACGACCAAACGACACCTAAATATTGGCAACAACAGGCGTTGGGGCTAGGCGAAAATTTTGCATGTTGGGGGAGCCCAAGTAAGGTCTCCGCCCCCACATAGCCGGGGCCATAGTCCTTACACACATATCCTTTTGAACAAGCCTCGTGCAGTTACAAGGCCTTGCGTGCCTTCACGGTTGTGGCATGTAGTATCTGCGTAGCACTCAGATAGCGCGCATAGAGCCAAGTCAAGGCGGCATTGAGGGCTTGATCCCATCCCAATTTCACATTGCCAGCAAGACCACCCTGGCACCCCTTTCTCAATCCGACATCCCCCTCTCTTGTTAAATGGAGCTGGGGGGGGGGGGGGGGTTGCCGGGGGCCATGGGGGGGGGCTAGCATGGGGCCGGAGGTTGAATGCCTGGGTCCGGGACGTTCGGGCAAAGTTTTTCCATTTATGCCGGTGGTGCAACCGGCGGTGACCATACTTTGGAAAACCCGACATAAAGGGGATTAAGTCTTACTTGGGGCCTGATCATTGTCATCCTGGGATTCGGGCAGAAGAGAAACAGACAGACAGTGAGACAGATCGAGCGTCAGTCATGTCGGCATGTGTCAGTGATGGCGGACATGTGGCTGTGTGTGCGTGTGTGTGTTTGCTGGTGCCCAACATTGCCCAACATTGTTTGTGCAGGCATTTTGCCTATCCTTCACAATTGTTAATGGAATCGGTACATGCGGGACACAAAGGACCACTTCCAGTATCGGGTTGGGTGATCTAGTGCCCAGGATCGAAGATCCAAATGTGCTTTTGGGGGATTTTTGGGGGGTCAGCGTAAATCACCTCCATTTATTGCGTTCCGGGCTGCTAATTCTATATATATATATATATATATATATATCTCTCTCTCTCTCTCTCTCTCTCTCTCTCTCTGGGAAAGAGTGCGCACTGTGGAATGAGACTGCGTATATTTACTTCAGTGCATTTGTGTGTGTATGCACATACACACGTGCAGATGCCTTTTGATTGTGCAGACCCGATCGCGCCTTGCAGGCATTTTGCCTCGGGACGCGTGGGGCATGACAGGCATCATGACAGGGCCTTCGGAACTTAGCTGAGGTTAGGGCACATACTATTGGCATGGCCGCATTGCATGAAGCCACTATTAAGGCATGGGGGACTGGGTAGTAAGCCACTATGACGGCATTTGTGTTTATCTTACTAGATCTTACTAGCAAGCCACTATGACGGCATGGGGGACTGGGTGCAAGCCACTATGACGGCACTGGGATCTAAAAAATACTAGATCTTACTATGGACCATCTATACCCAAGCATTGGAAACGCATATATATATATATTATATATATGCATACATATACACATGTATATAAGCAGTATGTGTAGAATGGATGTTTCAGGGCATCGGCACCCTGATTCAGATTTTGTCCCCTGCCTAGCGGGAAGCATTTGCGCGCATTTCGTTGCGTCGTTGGGAGAATTTTGGACAATGGTAGCTTGACACGATCGTGAAAATTTATGTGCAGAACAGTCTGTGTTTCACGTCAACCTTCTACCTTGTTGGACCGTGCAAACGACGGAGAGGCCCGTGTATTGTGGGCAATACAAAAACATCATCATCATATGAATTCCGGAAGACAACCTGTGACAACCAAATTGCGAAGGTGGAAGTCTCTGATTGGCTGTTGGAGACCGAACCTGCAGAGGTCCCAAGCTTCCATGGCAATGCAGAACATGCCTGCAACTTTCTCCAAAAATTTTGGACGCCCTGCAATGAGTTCGAAGTCGTAGCATTAACCGGAAGATGGAATGTACTAACGAGGACGATATGGTTCCAGACGCAAAAAAGCGCAGTGTTGTTTGTAGAAGTCCCTCAAGAAACACGGAGGAAGATGAGCAGGAAACTTCCACGACCCAAATGCAAAACTGCATCAACAGCGAGCGACGGGAACGGTTGAGAGGATGATTCAGACGTTGAGGAGTCAGACCGTATGCATGCGTATCAAAGTGGAACGTTGCCTGGAGATTGAAGTGCCAGAAAGCGACACCGTGTGGACATGGTCATTGTGTCATGCCAGGTGGTTTACTAAGAGTTTCACAAACCCGATGCCATTGGAGCCACACCTGTTCAGTTAGCAACTGGCGAACTTTATGTGGGAAAGATCGGTTCTTAAGGAGCATACGTTGTCGCATGGCAGGATGAGGGTTGAAAGCATGTTCCGGGCAAGACTGCCCAGGACACGCATTTGGCAGCTGATTTTGGGAGTTTCAAGCATGCTCCCGTAGTGGAGCTGCGACTGACTGTTGCTGAGGCGTTCGTTCCGGTTTACGTCGGCATCGCGGGAGTCGGTCTTGCCATCGCTAAGCCAGACTAGCGCGTCTTGGGTTTTCGCGCTAATTATTTGGCGGTAATGTGGCTGATCATGCTTGTTGCTATACCACAACCCCATGAACTCTCGAGAATTGGGTTGAAGCCACGTCGGCGGAGTGTCACTTGAGTGAAGAGGGTGTTGGTATTGTGCCCAAAGGAAATTTGCACGTGAATTCTCCTATGTAGTCATGTCGCAGTATGTGAAGGCAATTACAACTTAAAACCTTCTTGAAAACCTGACCACCTTCCTGGAGGCTCAAAGGCTCCTGCAGCTGCTGATCCAACGGATGTTTGGCCGCAACAGTCTCACTCGCCGGCACTGTCAGTTCAGTGTCATTCGATGGGATGGCCACTGATGCTGGTGCGGTGCACTCGTACATTTCGACAGGTTGCTGTGTCAACACTGCATCGTAAGAATCTGTGAGCTTGCGGTTTTTACATGGTTTGAACTGGTGCACATTTGGCGACTCATAAGGGCAAGCGGAGATACCACCAAGGGGACTTCCCGAGACCACGCAGATCCTCTATATGCGGGGCAGCGGGAAGAAGGCCGACCAAGAGTGAAATGTTTGGAATTGATACAGTTATTTCCACGTTCGTGCTTGCACGGTTGTTGATCCATCACCAGCTCGACTGGAGGAGTAGTACTGTCGGCGGAGAGATAATCACGATGTTATACATGTCGTAGGCACCTGGATGGGCTGGACTGCCAATTCGTCTTCGCTGCCCTAAGTCCTCAGGCGAATTCGCCTTGGTTCTGTAGTTTCAGCAAACAGCAGGTCAACAAGCACTAATTTATTCACCATCCGGTGAAACTAGAACTAGAACGGCACTGAAATGTGACACCACCAATTAAAGCTTCTTCTCACCCCATGCGACCTGCCTGTGGCAACGCATTCTGTTTCTTCTCCTCATTGCAGAAGTGTTTTTTCCAACACCTTGAGAAGCCACGCACAGGCCTTTCCAAAAAACAAAGGCTAAGCTTGAAGAATCATAGCTTGAGAGTCGGGCTAGGCTGCTGGATCGAAGCTGATTCGTGCTATGTCGGGATGGTGTCGTGGCTGCACCGAGCAAGAATCGAGCTGCAGCTGCGTACATTTGAGTGAAAGCCCCCGAACCCAGGTACTTCAGGAGGCCGTTTGAGGTGGCCGATCGGTCCTGCAACTTGGCAATGCGCTTCCGTACCGCCCCATGCGGGGAAAAAGGTTAGGGCTTCACAAATGAATGTCGCAGTTGCTACACCCCTTATCGTTTTCGTCTCTGCAGCTTCTCCTTGTGCTGCTGCTGCTGCTGCTGCTGCTGCTGCTGCTGCTGCTGCTGCTGCTGCTGCGTGTTTTCTGCTGCATGGTCGCATTGTTCGCGATCTCACCGTTCATGCGTTCAAAGGTGGTGTCAGTATAGGCCCACTGTGTAGGCAGTCCCGGTGGAACCGGTGCCGTTGCTACTGTTTCTCTTTTTGTCCCGTGGTAGGCATTGCTGCCTTCGTTCTGCAGTTGCCGGTGTTCATAAATCTATATAATACAGACTGCACAGAGAGCTTCCATTCCTAGAGACCAGCGCGGGTCTTCAAGGTTCTTTGTCGCTTACTACACAGTTTCAAGAGGTCTGAGCGACTGCCTGATATTCTCGAGCCCAAAGTCTTGAAGCCGGGAACTCCCCCATTTCCAGAGTCTCCACCAGTTCTGACACCCCATCGTCTGAGAAGCCTCTCCCAGGTTACCAGCACGTCAGACTTATTGGGGGAAAGCCAGTCTGCAGCGCTCCTTGGGCTGCTTACTCGAGCTGTGCCGGCCCTAAGCAGAATTAGACAAGGAGACACTAAGGCCTGCTCCACCTCGCTAGTCGTTAATGGATCAAAGCATGAAATAGGGTTTTGTCGACAGACACGACCTTGGACTTCGAACCCTGCTATACCTCGGGCAGCTGCACGACCTAGCGCAGCAGGTTTCCAAGTCGCAGTTTTTGCAGTTGAAGAGTTTTCGAGGAATGGTTTGGGCCTTGCAGGTATCGAGCCGAGCCTTCAAGCCGATTGCAATCAAGTCATCACTCGCAGCAGCCCGGCCCCCAAAGTTATGTAACACACCCAAGGAGGAAATGAAAGGAACGAATCGAATTAGAATTTCCCAAGAAGCCGCTAGCCGCTAGCACCCGCTCGCAAGTCTCAGGAGGCTCACGTGTTCTGGAGTGCTCACTACAGCCTCTGGAAGTTGGGAGCCTTGACGGACGACAAGGCCAGCGGACTGGGGTCAGTGGTTCGAGTGATCCGGTCTCGAGTTCAGACGTTGGAGAATGGGCAGAAGCGAACCTCCCCCTCCCAGTCTCCAAGCGCATGTAGCCTATGCAACCCTTCGCAGAACATTGACCAAAGCTTTGTCAACCTTCCTGCACGGCGCACATGCACGTGCGGACCGAGGCATGCGCACACGCACATACATGCACAAGCAGAAACATGCTTATATGCTACCATACACACCTAGGTCCCCTCGTTACTTCCCAGTACATTCATGCGCATGCTTACAGGAGAACCGTGTTGGTTGAATGTCCTGTATGCTGGAAGCACACTCCGCCTGTTAAACTGCATATGGCATATGCAGAGAATTGCGCCCAGATACATACATGTAGGCGGACTGGTTCACTTACATGTATGTTCATTGTCTGTGCATGTGCCTGAGCATACCTACATGCATGCATGTACCTATGCACATGTGCGCCTGCACTTGCTGCGATTTGTGAGGTCTGTTTGTGTGTCTGTGTACGCCTGTCTGCCTGCCTTGGCTGGCTGCCTGCCTGCCTGCCTGTCTGTCTTTGGTATTTTGTTGGTTCAATCGTTTGTTTGTTGAGTGGTTGTGGTTTTGTGGTTTTTGTTGCATTTATTTGGTGGTTGCATTGTATACATGTTTGTCGATTGTTTTTGTTTTGTGTGTGTGTGTGTTTCTCTGTTTGTTTGCAACCGACTGTGTGTGCACGTAGATCAGCTCTTGCATCGCCTTCGACTGTAGCAGGCCGGACTGGCCATCTGTCAAGGAAAACACACAGAGGCGCCTCGTCGGGTCTTCTGAAAACCTCGGATGCGGGTGCAGGTTGCCTTGTGGGCGACTGATATTCGTGCCTGGAACATGCTGCTAGCTCTGAGGGAGCTGCGGCACTGTCGGTGGGTGTGTGCTGCAACCGTGCTGCAAGCACCAAGCATCCTAAAAACACTTTTTTTTTAATGGAGGCTGTACAACATGACGCCAGCTAGCCGTTAATTATCCTTTTCGCGACCCACATGAGACATGAACCTGTTCCTGAGAGGTGCAGAAGCTGACGGAGCCCTGGAAGCTTTACGAACCTCCTCAAGTTGAAACGACATCGCCAAATGCGTCCACACAACCATCTTGACTCCGTGAAGTGTATTCACATCCTTTTATTATTTCCCTCCATGTGAACCGCATGTCATGTTGCCTGGACCCGCAGTCGCTGGCACGCGCAGTGCCTGTAGATCACTGTTCAGCTTTCTGCTGTGCCAAGCTTTCCGTTACTGTACATGTCTCAACGATGCCAGACCACCTTGCGGACACCGTCCGGGAAACATCAGCAAACTTGCATGTTCCCGGGAGAGTTGCACGTAGCTTGAGCCCGGAAGACAGGCCAGGATGGGTCATGTTGGCCATTTCGCGTAGTTACAGAAAGCTTTGCGTGGCTGAAGCTGTTGTGTCACCTCGACTCCTGCAAATTATGCAGACGACAGCGTGGGGCGCTCGACTACAAGAAAGACGCGGTTGTTGCATGAGTTTTGCGTTTGCATGTTCCACGGCCATAGGTTAGAGGGTAGACACCGAGCCAGGACTTTTACTGGTCCAATTATAAGGACTTATTCATTACTCGTTAGTTACTAGTTCTTCAGTCTTTGGTCCGTGTAGAGCCAATAATGTTTGCACTTGAGCTTGTCAGCCTCTCAGTCGCATTCACAACCACAAAGCCACGAACTGGCCGCCAAGCCGCCCAGCTACCATTTGTCGTGGTTCCAGTCTGGCCGCTTGCGGACAGTCAAGCTGCAAGACAAAACATGATTCGGGCCACAGCCTCGCAGATTGCGCTATCCTAGGTTGGGAATCGTAGGAATTTCATGACAAAAGGCATCCTGCCCACAGGCACGCACGAGGCTCGCGCTTTCGGAGGTCGTCAACGACTTGGACTTCATGGTCCGAGGACCCAGATTCGGCTGCACAGTCCGCGTGTCCGTGTCAACAGAGCTCTCTTCTTCAACCGAAAGCGTCTTTTGACACCAACTACTAGCTGCTGTAGCTTCGTCACGTTATGTTAAGACTGAGTCCTTATCCGCGCGTGCATTGCATGCTCAGTACTCACTCCCGAGCTGTCGGCTGTCGGTGCCAGAGGTGCCTGCGACATGCCCAGGGCAAGGCCGGAATTATGCCGTTGTGTCCTCATCCGAGCATGAGGATATTCTATTCCCTCCGGATTGCATGGGGCTGATCGCCACGTCAGGTATTGTGTGGTCTTCACGCTGGCATGTCAGTGTGCTTCCAGCAGCAGTTAACGATGTGAATGTATGCTTTGCAGACTGAGTCCTGGAAGTCCTTCGCTTTCCATACCTGCTCTCAACATGCACCTGCACAAAGTATAGTATACTGTTCCAACAGTTTACAGACCACACTGACCGTCTTAAAATTGGCCAGATCAGGTGAGAGTTGTTTCAGCGAGTCTTGCAGGTCACTTGCCCGACATCAAGCCTCATTTACAGAAGGTTTGTTGGTCTTTAGACTCCAAACTCCAGAGAATGTTTCTTGGAATTTCAGAGTGGGGCCTACAGGCACTGCGTGGAGAGCTGGGCGGCCCCTGAAAAGCGCGAATTTCCGTTTATGGGCATAGGCCTAGGCTATCAGAGTAAGCTGAATGCCTCATACAGCGTTAGCCGGATTGTTGCTGAGGCATGCCAATAACATGAAGCGGTGTTAGAAGTAATTACAGTGGTCCGAAGCTTTTATGCCGTGTGTTTGGACGCACGGGGCCTACGCCTCGCACCAGGCACGGAGGGTGCTGAACTCAGCTTCCCTTCTTGCGTAGCTCTTTTACCTTTCGGCTACTGTGTGTGTGCGTGTGTTCTTGCTGGGTACTCCGCCAACCATGAGACGGAGAAATGTTTCTTTAGGACTTTTAGGGAGGGAGTGATTCGCATTTTATACCTTCCTGCGTCAGAAAACTGATTCAAGCGGCACCGTCCGATTCCTGGAATCTGAACTTGGCGTCGTCGTGGCGTAAACGGCTCCCAAGTATTTCGAACCAACAGCGGTTGAAGCAACAGAGCACATGACAGCAAAGAGTATTGCTTCAGGCTGCAGAGCTCTGCAAGTAGAGGTTGCCAGAGCGGCTTCGCGTGTGTATCCATACACCACGTCTAGGTGTTGTGCCGTGGGCCACGCGACAGGGTCTGCACTTTTCTTTGGCCGGGATCACCCAACTCCCCAGGACATGCATGAAGATCATGGTTAGTAGAAGGTACAATCATGCCGTCGAGAATGCTCCGATTCTGTCCTTCGGGACAATGTCTCCACCCAAGTCCAATCGCAGTTGCTGAGGTCCTGCTGTGCGCTTGCGAAAGGAGGCGGCACTTCATGCCGCCCCCTCGGCGCGTCGAAAACCTCAAAGTTGCGAAGGTTGTTGACTGCTGACTTTGTCCCGGCATGCGAGATGCGAGACGACTGCTAGGCCAAAATTACGTGTTTCTGCCCCGATCCAATTTCTTCAAGCATGGCATGCTGGCACGGAGTACAAGAAGACAGCCCCCATGCCCGAAGCACCCAGACAATCCGGCACACCCATGCCATCAGCAAGAATCACACAGACACACATGAGTATGAACATAAAAAACATGTAGATGTAACATATTGTACATGTGTCCTTTTCCTTTTTATTGTATTATATACATTTAAATCGCTCGTAAAGAAACAGAGAGCCCTCTCGGTAATGAGGTCGGCAAGGGCTTGTTGGGCGAGTGCGTGCCTTCCCAAGTGCTTGTGTTGACTTACCTTGGGTGGACTCAGCCTATGGCACGGGCGAGCTGAGTGCTGTGGGACAGCCGAGAGCAAGTCTAGGAATGGTGAACCCGACGACTTTTGTGAGAAGTCCTGTCGTCACCACTTACGCTCAAGCCTGAGGCATACTGTACTCTAGTGGAGGCTTTGACGGTCCTAACCGGTCCTAACCCATCAGGCCACATGAGTGGATGAAAGGTGGGCTCTCAAGAAGTACGCCGTGCGGCCAGAAGCAGTCAAGCCTCACAGTGCCAGGTATGGAGCTCGGAGGCCGCCCGAGACCAGGCAGCATTTGGGCGGTGCTCTCACTTCCACGAGGGTCCAACTGGGCAGTAGTAAACACGCACCCACCGGCTTTGCACTGCCCCCGCTTTCAATACCCACTCGTGCCCAGAGCTTTTGCTGAGTTGAGGCAAGGTCTCTTCTGGGCACAAGGCTTTCAGCAGATCACAGAAGTCAAAGGGCCCTCCAAGTGGCAGGCACGGGAGGAGGCTGAGCAGATTCTGAGGCAGTCGGGAGCTCAAGGGGTCGAGTGATGCCGAGTGTTTGTTGCATGCCCGGTTGGCTGGCGGCTCTTTTCGACTCAGCCTGTTTGGATTTTGGACTCCCAAAGCGATTCTGAGGCTCTCTGCCTCCAGAGCTCAGCATGTCCAAGAGTATGCATTAGAAAACGGTTCCTTTGCACCAAGAGCAGGCGCACCCAAAACACAAGGGCACTACGGCCTCGTTGACTTGCTCTGCTCCTGGGGACATGCAGCATCGCAGGTCGTAGATTCGTAGATTCTTACGAGGCGATCGGCCGAGTCGGACGAAATAATGGCATTATTCCGGCCAAATGTATATTATTTAACGCATGTGAGAAGTAGTCGCAGTTCCCAAAGACCCGAACCGTGCACTGCGATGGCAATAATAGATGCAATAATGAGCGCCACCCGGTAGTGTACACGTGAGAGACTGAACACGATCCCTTGGAAGCTTGTTGTTTCCCTGGCTTGACCGGCTCAAGCAGTTTCCCATCAATCGCCCCAGAAGGGAGTTCGAGCCTTGGAATGCAATCAGCCCTTGGGGATTGCGGAGCCCAACCCCATCTCAAGAGTAATGCTGCCTGTCGGCTTATGGTGCATATGTACAATCTCGGCAATACAATTTTGAATTTCTGGTGTTTGTCCGAAGCGAGAAGCAAGCGGTAACCTGGGATGGCTCCTGACAGAACCTGCCTGGCCAACCTACACTATCTGCATTCAGAGTAGGCTAAGGCTTGCCGACAAGTGCAGGTCCAATAAACGGTCGGATTATTGCCACGTCTTTCGAAGCAAAGGGAACGGCCGCGAACGGTAGCCCGGCTGTCCTGGCTTAGGCTTTGGTTTTTGCCAAGCACATGCGCGGCAGGTGCGGAAGCTGTCTAAGTCCAGGAAGCCTCCTCACCCAGATTTCGGGTGATTCCATGTTCCTCGGCAACTACGCACAAGATTTGCCCGGTGTGTGCAGGCTCATTGGTGCAGGATCTGAGTGTTTCGTCGCATGTGTTGACAAATCCACATCTTATGGCTGACATGACTACGGCTACGGGCCTGTCGGAACCGTGAAACGTCGTGCCTGTAGCGTTGACTACACTTTGCATATCGATTATTGCACTTATATGGAAAGCACACCTCATCACGATGCCTCCGAACAGAATTAAGTTTTGGAGCTCAGTTTCCTTACTCCAGCACATGAATTAACTTGGTCCAGATGAAGGTCTTGTAGCAGTCCGTTGTTCTACGCCCGACGGTGAGAACCCAAGTCTCCAGACGAAGCACTCAACAAAGCGAAAAACAAGCGAGGCCTTCACGTTAACTCACAGACCCTCGCTCCCTCTCTCAGCTCAGGTTGTTGTGCCGAGGCTATCTGCTTCTGCTAGCACTGCCTGTCGTGTGGGCGGCTATCACTGAGCGCAGGAGACAGCAGGCAGGTCTCCTCAAACATGGAGTTTTGACAAGAGCTCAGATAGCTTGGAAATGGCTGTGCAGGATGACGTTGATCAGGGTGATGCTGAGGCCAGGCAAAGCATCACTCGACAAGATTTCGAGTTCAGGGCTTTCTGGGCCGAATCTCGGGGATGACCTGATTCATGTTGGAAGCATGCTTGAACTTATTAGATTGAACGATGGGAACGTTCACGTCGGCTCAGGCGGTTGTACGCTCGCACTGGAGGGGTTCAAGCTCATGCCGCGATTCTTAGATCGACCCTTGCACGGCATCCTCCCGGCCAGGACGAGGTCAGTCAAGACGGCAACGACGTAGAGTCTGCAGCTGAATTCCTCTCTGGCGGACCTGACGTCCGCGTCCTCTTCAGCATCCAGACGGCAGCGCACCTCGTCTCCGGTTTCAGGCTCTTAACCGCGAACGGCAGGTAACGCGGTGATACCGGTATCCTTATACCGCATGCCCTCCCGGACTGATTCGTCGTCAAACATGACTTGTAGCCCTCTCATGAAGCTGTGGCCAATGTCTCGCCGTGTTGTCATCCCTTCAGATCCGACATGTTGGTAAGTGGAGCCCTTTGATCGACATTCTGTTGTTATTCAGCCCCCGCCAGTTCCCGCAGCCGAGAAGGGCTAGACAGACAGGCGAATGCAAGTTTTCACGACAACATCCTTGCACTAGATGCATTTCGTTGTTCAGCTTCTTCGAGCTGCTCGGCGCTGTACTGACACCCCCCAAAACGATTTCTTTACCCAGGCACAATGTCGCAGCGATCCGCGCTGCTGCGGAGACATGGGCCTCTGCTGTGCCTCCAGGGCAGCTGCAGGCTTCTCCGGCAGTTCCTCTATGCTTACAACTTCTTGGACCTCTGCCTGTGTCGTTTCTATTCGGCTTACAGGTCAGTTTGCATCCCAGATTCAGGTGTATGGGTGGTCAAGCAGAGGTGAAGGGTCTGCCGATGGAGAACATGTGCACATCCGGAACCAGCTCGGCGCGGACAGGGGTAAGACCACAGGACGTTACTTGTACTTTCGCAGTGATCTCACAGGTAGGGAGGGATGTCCTGGATCATTAAAACCAGCCTTGCCCTCTCCAGCAAAGCCGCAGATGTTAGCCGGGATGCCAGGTGATCGGCATGAGCGAGCCGAAGCATTGGGAGATGAAGGGCATGTGCCGCGTCGTGCAATCGGACGTGTACTCGCTGAGTGTTAAAGTTGCGCACATCCGGACTGTCAGACCTGAGACTGTGCAGAATCGAGCCCGAGCCCGCCAGTTGTCAGCTCCAAGCTTGAATCTTCAATGAAGCAAAGCACTGCGTGATGCTTCGCTGTAAGTCCAGGCTCTGGGACAAGTCCGACTGTCCTGATACGCACTCCGGGGGTGCGTGCAAGGACCGGAATGAGTTTTCCGGGTCCTGGGGCTGGGGGCTTCAGCGAAGCACCCCATCAACACCCGCCTCCATCGACTTCCTTAATTTCCCGATTTTCGCGGTGGGCCGGAGTATTTTGGCATTTGGAGCTTTCAGGTTCTAGGATGGCAAGCAGGGCAAAGGCCCGTGTAAGTATGGCAACTTCGCAGCAGACTTGGGAGTCGTTCATCCCTTCAAGGCCGCAGTCGCAGGTAGTCGGCAAGTGCCAGTCTGATTGATGGCACACCAGCACTCGAGCTCCCAAGCGCAGGATTTCACAGCATTGTCGAATGCGTGGCAAAGTGGTTTTGATTGGGCTCCTTGTCTTCTTCAGCGATATCCCCTTTTTGACTCGATGATTACGCGAATCTAGACTATGTGAGGGCTACATGTATGTGGTGTGCTCCGAAGATGCGCATACACTTCTTCCAAATACCCGAGACACGCAATCCATCCAGCCAAGCCTACAGTCATTCCACATTGTTGAGCTTTTGTTGTCAGCTCAGCTCGTCTGCAAGTGTCGCAGTAGGCGACAATGCCGAATCTCGGTCCTCTTGCGAGCATGGAGTTGTTACACTCATTGGGCAATCGAATGAATACTTGTCTGTCCTCATGCATGGACCTTTCTGTGTATACACATACATTTACAAATATATACATATACATACACAGACATCCAACTGTTGTTTCTTTTCTCGCTTAGAGTCTTCCTCTCTCTCTCTCTCTCACTCGCTTTGTTTGCTTCTGCATATGCTAATTGTGAATCTATATGCTTAGGGGGGGAATGTTTGATATTAAGTACGCACAGAACGAAACTTCGACGGATGCACGTGATGCGCTTTTGATGAAGTGCCAGCTGAGACATAAGAGCACGATCAGGTGGCTGTGTGATGGGTTGGTTATGGTTGGAAAAGCGAAAGGCTTTGCCAGGCAGGTGCTGTTGTTCTGCTTGCGGCCAGGTGGTGCTTCTGGGTACGGATGCTTGGCGGTGAATGGAAGTTCGTGAGTTACAGGGTACCTGGCGTCCTTGACAGCAAGGAAGATTGAAACTCAAGACGAGGCCAAATGAGTAAGTCCAAGGGGTGTGATATAGAAGGGTTCTTGAGGGCAGATCTGCAATGAATCTGCACATCTCGATGGTCGTCGATGTCAGGACAACTATGCCGTGGCCAAGAACATCAAGGCGACGGAGGGTGTGCTTAGCTGCCAAGCCACGAGGTGTCTTGCCAGGTTTTCGCCGAGACTGGCCAGTTCCTGTAAACAAAATCTTTGCATTTCGCAGCTTCACCATGGCGAGTGGCAGGGCACATGTCCAGAAGCAAACAGAGCAACACAGCATGTCAAAGGCGGCGCTAGCTTCCCGGAGCCCTTCCACTGCAGAGGCGGGCTGTTAAACCAGTTGTCATGTGCACGTGTTCCGAGTTCAGTTACGTGACAGTGATGTTCTAATGGCTCCCACCACCAGAGGCCCAATTCAGTGCGCCACGAAAACCGATGCGATGGACAGCCCTCGCTTGCAATGTTGGCTACTGTACAAGGGAGTTGGAATCTAGTTCGCTGGTTATCCAGACCCAAGTTTATCTTGTCGATGCTTTGAACCGTGGAGATGGGTGCATCGCACAACTGGTCCAATACTGAGGAGGCGCCTTTGTTGAGTGTTATATGGTATTTGCGAGCGACATTCGTTCGCAAGACTCTCGGGGCAGTGCCACGGGGCACAAGTCGTCAGACTTTGTGAAGCTCAGCCACTGTGCTTGGTGATCCCAGCCAGTCCGATCAGCATACTTGAGCTTTGCAGTCAACAACCTCGCATCTCAGCAAGAGACCTGAGCCACTCGCATACAGATCCGAAAGCAGCGTTTTCTACAGCGACAGCTTCTGTATCTTCAATCCATGCCTGAAGCTTGACATGGCAACGGCTGCAGGTCCTCGGCATTCGTGGTTGTGGGAAGTGCAAGGCTGGTGGCCTTTGTGGAGGCCCATCAGCGGCGCACATGCCGTCAATGTCTTATCGAAAGCATAGGAACAACGGGACGTCCAACATTGAATCTGCAGGAGTGCGGTACGAAAATACTGGCAGTCACAGCTGCGTTGCAGCGATATGTGCTGATAACGTGCGCGATGTCACATCATGAGCTCGGTGCCGCTGGCAGTGGACTCGGTAGACTTGCTAGGTCACAGGATGTCTAATCAGACCATGTCGGATCCCAGGACACATCGTTTTTATGCATGGGCACCACGGTTTAGGTTGCATACCACCATCGCATATCATATCGTATCACCCCGTTTGGTAGTGTACGTGGTTGTCCTGTTTGTCCACACGCTACAGGCTCCTTTCTGCGACAGAGTTAGATCAGCATTTCACATGGCAGCATGCTCTGCTCATTCCAGACGAATCATTACGGTATGTATTCGAGCATGTATTAGATCTTCCTGCTATGTTCGGATGCATGTGCTTCGAGGATAATGGGCACATCGGAGCTGCACTTATTTCTCTTGCTGCGGCCCCGCCACCCTTGTGCGCCTTGATTACATCCTCAGGTGGAGGTCAGATCTTTAGCCGTGGCGCATTGGAAAAGCATCCTGACGGCATGATGGCTGATGTTCTTCGTCTCCAACTGTGGCGAGAATAGTGTAAGTTGGAATGTTCAAAGTTCGATGTCACTGGTGGCATTCTGGAGTGAAGCTGAGAGTTGGGGTTTCAGCCCGGAGGGCAAGCGGGTTGCTTCCCACGAGATGTGCCAATCGAACACGCTATGGCCGCTATGGAACGTCGGCAGAACACGGGCGATGCTCAAGTGGTCCCAGGACAGAAGAATCTTGGTCGCTTTGCATGGCCACAACCGAGGATGGTTGGGCAGGGGAAAGAGTCCTACATGAGGGAATCCATGAAGGAGGCCGGACCATACAGCTAGTGAGGACTTCCCATTGGCCAACTGGGGGTGGACTTCGTGTTTTGTGGTTCGGGGTTCGATGTATGCATACGTATACATCTATAATTATATATACAAATGCAAGTACGTCTAGAATCAAAATGAATAATATGCCATAAACAGATCAATAAACATATACGATGCGCATAGATGTGCATCTATATATATATATATATATATGTATATATATATATACATATATACATATGTATGCGCAAGTGTGTGTGTGTGCCCGTTCATATTATTCCCTGTCTGAAGAAATGTATATACACGTATACACACAGGCATACATACCTACACACATATATAAATGCACATGCAGCATATGCATATGTACTTGCTTCTTTGTTCATTGATGTAGATCACTATATACTTGCCTTGTAATATGTGTAGATGTATATTCGCATATATATATATATATGTTGTGGGTGTCGGGTTGTGTCTCGCTTACGAATTTACTATTCCAGGCTTCAAAGGCATAGAGCCCAAGACGCCAACATACGCTGGGTGCCTTGGCCTCGCCCCCATTTCTCCGCCGCATAGTTTGTTTGCATGTGCCTTCCAAGACCTTGCAGGCAAGCGCCTGTGGCATGTGGGGTGACGTGTCAAACTGCCGGGTTGCGGCGGCACACCATGTTCCCGTCCACGTGCCCGGGCTGCCTGGTATGCGGAGACGAGAGCAGATGAATATAATCCTGTGGGAATGGTTGACTAGGCGTATGCGAACGCAGCGGTTTATGCTTGAAGCTTTTCGAAGAAATGAAAGTGAAAGCCGCAATTGGTCACTTCAAGCGCACCGGCTGCAGGCTGCAGTAGATGTTGTTAGCAAGACAAGCCAGCCGGAAGCAACCAAAGTCGAGAAGCCAGAAAAGTCGCGAGTTCAAAGAATCGTGCTTTCAGTCGAGGGAGCATGGCATAATGGCATGGCCGAGCTTCGAGGAGGGGAGGGCCCTGCGCACTTTGAACGCAGGATTTGCCTGGACTGCATGGATGGAGATTGGATGATGAGGAGTCATCGCCTCAGTGCCGTGGTGCCTCCGACTGCATGGACCGCATCGGATCGCATTTGGTCATCCACGGACTTTGCCTTAGGGGTTCGATCTTCGTTCCCTCATTTTGTTGAGTCAGCCGCACATAGCCGCACCTACAGATCTTCTTCACGATTGAGTGGGTCACCCCTGCAGGCGACAGTGGACAGATTTGCTTGGTTGCTAGTGCAGGAATTGCGCAGCTCCTGCTCGCAAGTTTGCTAAGCCGGTTTCTGCAAAGTTGTGCTCTTTTTCCAAACACGGCTCACTTCTGGAACAGGCTGCAGCAGGCCCTTCTATCTCCATACCCACCGCCGCTGACATTCCACTACCTGACGCTGGGCTTTTGTCGCTAACTTGTGTGGGACAGGCAGGGATGATGTCTCAGGATTTGCCGACTTTTCAGGAAGTTTGCATCCTGTGTAACTGCATCTTGACATTCGATACCGAGGGTTCAGTTTACTGATATTTGTGTGAGATGGAATCGGACATGTCGAGAATGCAGTCCATGCATGTGTGAACCAGCGAATGAAAGAACGCTCTGGCCAAGTGTTGCAGGGTGTCAGTTGTATGAAGGATGTCGGCATGTGAACTGGACTCTGAGCCGAAGATCATCCCGAGGCAGATTGACGAGATTCGTGCGCTCCACGCCATGGTTGCTTCCAACCATGAGTCGTTCTTCGAGAGCGTGACGGGTCTACAGGCTCTTCGGGTAAGACATGCAACTCAAGATGATCCGGAGGCCTACTCTCGTCACATTGGTCACATGACACATGTGCTTTGGAAATGTCGCCGCAACAGCAAACATGCAGACAGCTTGTGCCATGATAAGAGAGGTGGTATATTGAGGTGTGAGTAGTCGTGTCGTGCGAGGTTGTGTGCAAGGGCCGTCCGGAGGATGTACTGTTGAATGTTTGGTGCACACCCACAATCACCCAAAGTGCCTGGAAACCCATGTCGTCGCAAGTAAAATCTCAGTTCGGGCTCAATGCAAACCTGCAAAGCGCACCAGGCACAGGGCCTGTCGAGATGGTATGCCCGTCGGGACCGATATGTGGCCGCTCCCTGGCCATCAAACGGCTGTAAGGCTTTTTTGTGACATTGGGGATGCGCAGGTTGTGGCGTCAAGGATCTGAGTCTGGGTGAAATCGCTGCGGTGCTGCAGACACACCAAGGAAGAGCAGAAGCGAAGACAGCGCGACCTCGAGATGCGGAGGCATGTTTGGGGAATGCCCTGCGGTGGTGATGCGTTGCCGGAGCATGGCAAAGAATGTTGAGTCGGTACTGATCCCTTATGTCCTGTGCGGACAAACCAGAGGGCCCGCTGTTGTTTGTCGTGTTTTTCGTCATGTTGCTAACCTTTTGGTGGGATCCGGAAGCATCGAGCTATGATGATCAAACTCCTCTTTAGTTACACTTTGGGCTTGATCACACACTTCAGCCCTTCAAAGGGTCAGCATCCACATAGATAAATCGAAGTTCACACGGCTTGTTGCAGCTGCCTGCAGGACACCTTCCTCTGAACGGCCTCCGAGGAGCATGACCGTTCGGCGGGAAAGCTCCTGAGGGCCATGAGTCTTTAGGCAGAGGGTCGTTAGTCCGGACGGCTGCCGTTGGGAAAAGAGCGCCTGCAAGCAGGCTTTTGTAGGCACTGGGTGCGATGTTGTTCATGGAAGCAACTCGAAGGTCTGAGCCTCAGTGTGGTAATGTCCACCAGGAGGTGTGCTCCACGAGCATGTTAAAAAGACCTCTCAAGCTGTGAGTGAGCTGGCCCGGTCTCAACACCTGCAAGGTTCGGTTCGGATGGAGGGGCTCTGTAATAGGACCGTAGTCAGCGGTCCGGGGTTGAGGTTTCACACTGAACTGAAGTTGCAATGCTTTGAAGTTCTGCCGGTGTCAGTTGCCCTCTTTGAGCGACGTCGGAACTGTTTCTTTTCTGGGCTTTTCCATCGCCTGGATGGGTGCTCGTGCCGGTTGCCCACAGCATGGCCCAAGGTTCGATGAGTCCCATGCGCCGGTGGAGGACCTGGGCTCTCTTCCACTCCATTTCTGCAAGACTTCGAGTGAAGTTGCGCCGTTTATCCACACTCGCATGCACTTGAGCCATGGAGCACCTGCAAGTTGGACGGAAAAAGTAATGGCGACCTCCTGATTCCTAGGAAGGAGATGCAGACCATGTGCTCAGCCGCGTAGCGGCCCTGGTTTCTTCTCATTACAGACAGCAATTTGTTGTACGCTCAGTTTGCCCGGCCTGTTGGATGTCTCCAAATCTCGTCCTTGCGGTGCGACTTAGTTCAGCTAGGCGAGTGGCAAAAAACTAGATCGGGACTGACCTTGATGTACTGGAGCTTCGATGCGAAGCGCCGCACAAGGCACGGCATTCACCCTTACCAAGAGCGCATGCCCAGGAACAAGTACAAGAACAGGAGCAAGAGCATGAAGAAGAAGTGGAGGAGGAGATTTTGTACATGGCGACTGCAACGCATCAGATCCATTGCACCCGCGTCATCAAACAGTCGTCATAGTTTAGGTCGTTCGCTTGACCTTGCCACCTTTTTCATGCATGCCGGTTTGCCTGCTGAAGTTTGAACTGCCGAGTCAGCATGCATTCCTATCTGACTTTCACTCCTGCGCCCGGCTTGGCAATTGTCAGGACCACGAGCAAGAGGCCACTGGAATCGCGGGCGGCAGACAGACAGACAGACAGAATAAAATCTGCAGGCCGTATCAGCCGCCGGGCCTCGGCGGCTAATAGCTTGCCACTGCGAGTCTTGGAGGAGTTGCTCAATACCAGATCGTGTGATTCCACCGCGACCCCGACACAAGAAAGAGTCTGTTGGTGCCTTCGCCTGATGTCGTTGAAACATGGATTGCTGACATCCGAAGAAGTAAGAAGCTCGTGGTGCTGTAGCTGATAATAAGAGCGGACTCTGCGTTCGGCAGAGGCGGAACAGGAGGAAGAGGTCGACCGACTCCTCGAAGCGCCGGCTCCACAGAAGTACGCCAAGGAGTCCGAGGAGGCCGTTGAAGAGCCGCAGAGCTGATGCCGCAAAAGGACTGCACTCGAGAAGCCAATCTTAGAGTCTTGAAGACTGCCACTGATTTGCGTGGTCCTGATTGCTGCCGGCAAACTATAGATGAAAAAAAGTTGTGAACCGGAAATTTCATCGAACGCCAAGCTCCCAGTCATCGACGGAATAGGCCACGCCGTGGCCGCTGCAGGGGCTCGTCGCGAAGTGCCGGCCTCGAGCAGAGTAACGCGGTGAGCAGGCCTCCCGTCGTGCTCCGTGCTCCCTCGATTCCGCAACCATTGACTAATGTGTCCCGAATCAATCCCAGGACATCCTCTCGCAAGGGATCGCTCATTCTCGTATTGGCTTGGCGTTATTTATAAACCCTGCCGCAATCTGGACATGAATCATGTACTCCAAAGGCAGGGATCGACGAGGGAGACGCTGGAAGCAACGGCATGCTTCAGCAGACAAGCAACATCTAGATCGGAAGCGCTTAGACTGCAAAGGTCAACCGCTGCACTCCCTTTCTACCCACTGGCGGACTTTGCGGTCAACAAAGGGCAGCCAGCCCAGATTTGGAGAGCGGAGAGACGTCGATTGAAGAGAGCTCTGGGCTTTCATTCCGTCCTGTAAGCATGTTTGTATGTTTGTATATACTCGTATGTGGTGTTCATGAGTCCTCGCATGTTTTTCTTTCGCCCGCCGAGCTATCTATGGACGTATGGACGGGTGGATGTGTTTAGCAATTTGTAAGTGTGTGGCTGAATGTTTGGCTGCAACAGCTCATCCAGTCAGTGTGCTCACAACCCTGGAATTCGCCCCCGAAGTTGACGAGCAGTAACTCTCAAAGCGTTAGAGCTGTAAACCCACAAGAACGACGTGGCAAGGTATGCAGAGTTGGCGTTTGGGACAAGGGTCGTTTTGTTGTTGAGATGAAGGTTTGGGGGGTGCCAGCCTTAAGAAAACTGCGGTCGTGAAGTCTTCCACGGGTCTGATGCATACGAACCAGTGGTTTCCAGCATCATTCCTTTACCTGTGCGGAACAACCAGAAGCTTTCAATTCTAGCATGAGCATCCTGAAAATTGGAGCGAACTTCGATGCAAGATGAAACAAGCAAGCGTCATGGCATCCGCCGCCGCCAGGATCCTCAACGAGTCAAGCCCCGCCTTGGGGGGGCTGCCTGGCTTCGCCGCTTTTTGAGCAGTTTGCGCAACTGTTTCCTTTTGTGATTTTGAACTCCTACTCCCAGATATGAACCCTGAGAGATTGATGACCAAAGAAAACGCCAAACACCAACGCCAGGCGCGCATTCACTACTGCAGCTTATTGTACTGTTACCAGCTGATGCTGCCTCTACCCCCACCTCCACCTCTACCACGACGACGACGACTACTACCACTACCACTCCCACTTCCACTACCACCACTGCTGCTGCTACTACTACTACTACTACTACTACTACTAGCTACTACTAGCTACTACTAGCTACTACTAGCTACTAGCACTACTACTACTAGCTACTACTAGCTACTAGCTACTAGCTACTAGCTACTAGCTACTAGTACTAGTACTAGTACTAGTACTAGTACTAGTACTAGTACTACTACTACGACTACTACTACTGCTACTACTACTATCTTTTGGTTGGGCTTGCCAACGGGTCGGTGAGGGATCGGATCATCGTAGTTGACGTGTTGCCTGCAGAGCAGAGTCGTTGAGACGCTGACAAGTGGGAGCCAAAAACTACTACTACTACTACTACTACTACTACTACTACTACTACTACTACTACTACTACGAGATACGACGACGACTACTGCTACTACCGCCCCTCGTGTTGCGCTGCTGCTGCTGCTGCTGCTGCGGCTGCTGCTGCTGCTTGTGTGGCGGACGGTTTTCGTCATTTTAGTACCATGCTTGGTATTACCGGTTGCAACAAATATTTGTCCGGCTTCTTTCATGCAGAGCAATCACACAGATAGTATCACTGCTGGACGATCTTTGTTATAATGGGAACATAGACGGTCTAATCTCAGGTCATGGTCAGCGAGAACCACTATCGCAGAAGTTGGAGATTGACTTCTGTGCGCAGGCGCCGTTTTATTGCCGAGCATGTTTTGACAGGGTCGCCACATGTTTGTCTGTATGCTAAAAAGGCTGCGACATTCTCAGGAATGCGGGTCCAGTGCGGGTCCACCGTGTGTGCTCGTTGACGGGTGCCGGCCCCGTCGAGGTTTGGTAGCTGTTGTTCCTACTAGCACCACTCACAAGCCAAGTTACTCGCCCTCCTACAGCATGAAATCAAATCTTGGACTCTGAGGCTGTCTCTGTCTTCACATTGGTGAGCAAATCCTAAGTGTCGGAACGACGAGGTAGCTCACGTGGGTTTGCTACAGAGAAACATTCTGAAGGTTTGACGACAGTTTTTCGGGCTGCAGAATCAAAAGCTCTTGGCCTCAAGCATCATTGGCCTAGAATCCTAGACAGTCTCACCTGGCCAGGCTTCGCAATGTCGCTTGCTTCATGGAGTGGGTCAGCTGACTTGGCCTTTCGTTGTTGGAAGCAAGGTTGATTCAGCATCGGGATTCGCCAACATCTACTCTGAATGCTGGGTATAAAGATGTTAAAGCCGGCCACGCTTTGTGATCCTGTCTTGCCAGGTACCTTCTGTTCGGAGGTTGAAGCGGTTTTCTGCCGGTGCCACAGATTTGCGGAAGATCAAGTCCATCTATGCTCGTTCAAGAGTGCCACAGATATTCTGGATGTCAAGCCACGCTGATTCAACAGAGATCGAATGTTGACTTTGAGATCCTTGGGGATTTGATTCTGGAATCCTGACGTGATGCAGCTGGCGAACACCTGTCTGCAATTGCGCCGTGGGGGAGGTGTCTTGCTTTCCAGCACGTGTTGGGTTGAAAATTTGAGTCGCTTGTCGAATGGTGTCGACAAGGGCCCGACAAGGGCCAGATGGCCAAGGTGTCCCCATCGGCGCTGTCTCAAGAGCAACGCTTTCGCTTGCGTTGGGGGCCTCGGCAAGCGTTGGGACAGAAGCAGCGAATTTCAGCAAATATCAGCAAATATAGGGCTGCGATTTGACGATACTAGGCTCGCACAGACTCTGCACCTAGCTGCAGAATGCCTCCTGAAGAGAGCCTTCAGAAGCTGCACTGATCGCATCTGTGCCGAGGCGAGGCCTTGGAGCTGTGCTGCGGCAGCCGAGAAGATTGCACCTGTACTCAAAGGGATTCAAAGATTTAGTATTTGCTGGTACCCATCCTGCAAACCGGTACATCACACATCCTCATGCGACCTGTAAGGGGGAATCAATGTGCTTCGAGTGTGCACAGCTGGGACATGGCCGCTCGGGCGTAACACCGTGAAGTTTGACTCCAAACTCTAAGAAATAAAATTCAAACTGAATTTTGGGCGCCTGCCGTCGCAAACTGTGGCTGGGACGCTGAAGCCTAGAACCATTCGCTACGGTTGCCGGAAGAGCATCTGCAATTGCACGGCAGAGTGAGAAATGGCGGCTTGGCCTTCAGCACAACAAGGCAGCAACATCTAAAACACTAAACGAATCTAAACTGCCCTTGGCCAGCAACGACTGCCGTGTGTCTCGTCATCTCGCTTCGGCCCGAATTTCGAGTGTGGGCGAGCGCCAGTTGGATGAGCAGCAGAGGTTGGATGCTGACTTACGCAAACTCTTCATGTTCAATAGTGTTGCAAGTAAGGCTCCGCGGGTTTCGGCCAAGAGGAGGCCTTGCGATTGTTGCGTCTAAAGTGCCTAGTGTCCGGGCAAAGACCCGAAAGATTGCAGCTAGTCTCTAAGGGGCAGAACTTGTCGTACGTTACGGCGGAGCTAAGTACGTTACGTTTGCCAGGTCCGGGCGATTTGCGAAGTGTTAGACCTTGCCGAAGAGGGCGAAGCATACATCGTGCTGGCCTTGGTGGCATTGAAACCTAGTTCGAGGACGCACAGTGAAGTTGGTTTAATTCGGCGACGACAAGGCCACGGAGGTAGTGTATAAGTTTTGTTCAAAACTTCCGCATGTTTAAGACCCGAAGCTTCAGCATTGTCGACTCGGCGGCCCGGGCCCGACAGCCACGGAGTGTGCACAGGAGGTAGCAGAAGACATGTACATACACACACATATGTATGTATGTATGTATATGTATATGTGTGTGTGTGTGTAATATGTACATCTGAATCCTTGCACAGATATGTAGTATGTTCATGTATGTATATGTACATGTGTATATACATATATACACCCTGTCTGTATGTTTAGACAGTGAAGATCTGCATGAAAAATCGCCGCAGTAGATGTGGTTATCGTTTCTCTGATGTTATCAGTAAATCGGCTCAGCACTTGAGCTTTTTCACATTGCGACGATCTGGTATATTGCGATCTTTGCCCTCGCTGACCTGAGGCGCACATGCCCACAGGTAGCTCTGGCCTTGGTGGCTCCACGCTCCGCTGTGCTGAAGCGAGTTTGGATGGCATGTTGCAACAGCTCGTTCGAAGGCTTCTGTCGTGCATTCAAGATCTCGCGCCCGAAAGTGTCGGAACTGCGTCGTCTGGCCACGATCATGAGCTTCACAGTTGCACTTCGTGTCCATATACTGAATGCTGTGTATTCACGAATGGGGCATGCGCAAACACACACGCACACACACTCGCACCACGAGCGAGGCAGAATCCTTCATTTCGTCTGACTCATTTAGGTAGACCATCTGGAGCCTGGTTGAAATGAGACGTCCATAGAGTCTCGGATACTGGCAGGCGCAGCAAAGGACCGCCTGTAACGCATGCAGTCCCTCAGGTCGGGTGACCCTTAGCGAGCTGGAGCAGGCTTTGGGAACGCAAGACTTCTTCCGCATGCAGCAGGCCGGGTCCCGGCCGGGTCGCAGCGGTGTTTTGAGACCCGTTGCGAGCCTGTCAGGGGCGCTTCTTCGTGGCTCTCGGATTAGCTGAGGCAGAGCATCTCCGGGGTGCTATGTGCGCGGCCTCAGCCTTCAAGTTCCGTGCCGAAAACACCCCTCTCTGTCTTCGTGCCGACTGCCAAGGCACCTCATGGCGGGGCAGAGCTGGTTGCAAGACTGCTGTTTGGCACTGAGGCGCCTTGAGCTTGTCCTTCGTGGCACGACATACACAGATGAGGGCTTCTTAGTTCAGCAATATCTAACATAGCTATATCTATGTCTGTGTATATATATATACGCCTATACATAGATACTCGTATGAAGTTGCCTCCTGATGTGCCCTTGGGATAGCACGGCAGAGAAAGAGAGGGAGAGAGGGAGAGAGAGATTACACTGAAGTCTTGTGGAATGAAGGAGGGAGATTTGTGCCTCTTCAGTATTCGCTCTCTATTATGATCAGCCCCCCTTGAAACACATCATGGGTACGGCAACATGAGAGCGCACACTCGTCATCTTTCCGATGTTGCATACTTTATGGCTTTAGCCTTCAGACGAGTTACGCTCGTTTCTCACCCCCTCAGCCGTTCCAGACGCGAACGGGTGGGCTCTGAAGCCCGGCGGCGCTGACCCGCCTCCATGCCCGGGAGCGAGCGAGAGAAAGAGAGAGAGATTACATGTGTGTGTGTGTGTGTCTCTGTGTCTGTGTCTGTGTCTGTGTGTGTGTGTGTGTTTGTGTGTGTGTGTGTGTGTTTGTGTGTGTGTGTGTGTGTGTGTCCACCCCTGTTTCGAAGGGTAGGTAAATCTGAGTCGAATGAGCAGGGGGCCCGGAGAGCCCGAGTGAGGTCCGGGCCAACGAAGACCCTCACTCGGTGCTCGTGTAAACGTACCTGCAAATCAGTAACCCTAGAGCGCTGACAGCTTCTGACTTTCCCTGACAGCTTCTGACTTTCCCTGACAGTATGCACCGACAGATCAGACCTGCGACACGATGTGTCAAGTGTGCTTCACAACGGCATTCCCTATGGGCGCCGTGTCTCCCAGAGGTAGCTCTGGCGCTGACTTTCCCGATTGACTGTATAAGCATTGGATGACTTTCCCTGATTCTATATCCGTGCTTGCAAGCTGACTTTCTCAGTGAGTCTTTCCCAAATGCCTTTGCCGAAACCTGAATGCTGACTTTCCCACTGACTTTCTATGATCTGATTGACTTTCCCGAACCTGACTTTACCGCTGACTTGTCGCAGGTCTTCGGCTGCAAGTTGAGTACATGAGCTGTACTTTTGGTAGTTGCTGATCAATTTGCCATGGATACTTCAGGTAAAGGACGCAGTGCCGGGACATCTCTTCCCCCCCTTCCTCCCCCGCCTCTCCCTCCACCCTCCTCCTCTCCCCTTCCTCCTTTGCCACCCCCTCCCCTTCCCACTGCTGCCCCGCCCTCCTCTCGTG